ATTCTAATCAACAGTTCGTAAGATATCGTTAGTGCGCCGAATTAGGCACTGCACCAAATTAGGCATATCTACCTTATGTTATATCTTAAAATCTATTTTGTTTTTTGAATCTAGAATTTGGATTTATATTTGGGGCTTCTAACTTATCATTATCAATGACTTCTAGCACAATATTAGTCCTTGCAATTCTTACTCACTCCATATGAGCTGCTTGTTAAAGAGTTAGTCATAGGCTATGAATATCTTGTGTATCTTTGTCTTTCCATTTATCAGCAATCGCTGTTAATTCTTCTTGCAATTTTATGAACTCATAACTTGCTTTGGAATTTGTATGAGGAGATGAATTTATAATGTCCTCAGGTTCTATTAATTGTTAGTATTAGATAAGTTGGTTATTTTTCTCTGTATCATCATTATTGTCTTCACTAACTTGAATACGACTTAGTATAGCAAAAATGTATTTGCATGGCAATTGGTGAACTTTGAAGTCCTGGCAACTGCAAATATACAATAAGGTATTTAAATTATCTTCAACATTGCTTCTTCGTACAGAATATTCAACATCATCATTGGTCATGGAATGTACTATCCAAGTATCCAGACTAATACTATAAATATCATTTGGGCTAATTTGTATCGTTCCAGAAATCTCTGCAGTCGTCTCTGTGAGTTCATTCTTCCAATATTTAAATCATTTAAAAATACAGAAAAGTCCAAGTCCCTAAGTACAATTTCTACAAGAAGGTAAACCTGTATCAAGACATCTTCCAGGCCTTCCTCTTATATATATATGCTTTAACTTTCGATAAAATGCTTTGATCAAGTTATTCATATCAATCATATCTCTGGTGATACCTCTTGAGCAGATCATTCACTTATCATACTTTGGTATCTACTAGCATTAAAAATAATCAGCAAAGCTATTTATTGTAGCAATATTTATTCTTCACCATCTATCAACTATTTCCGCAAGCTGTTGTTGTGCCTCTATATCAGTCCATCCTTCTGTTCTCATTAATTGGCAAAGATCCTTCTATATAATCATTTTATTTGAGTTGTCATTCTTACCTTTAGAGATATTAAAAACTCGAGTTAATTTGAAGTTGGCTTAATTTACTCAAAGAGTTATATGGTAAGAATAATTACAAATACTGTTATATTTTTGTGAAATAATGCATAGGAGTGTAATTTTGAATTTTGGCCTAAATTAAACTTAATGCAGGCCAAAATTCGAAACTATACCCCTACGCATGTTATTTCATGAAAGCACAATATATTTAGATAGTTAAATACATTATTCTAATATAATACTTAGTAAATATGTACTATATAGGTCCATATTATTTCACCTACAATCACTTTACTAACAGCTCATTTAGCTTGACATCACACCAGATGAAATTTAGCAAAAATATATATCTGCAACTAATCAAATACTTAACTCTAACCCTGTGTGATGTCGGCTAAGTGAATATTTAGTGAAATAACGGTTAGTAAGTTGATCAGAACCGGTATTATATAATGTAATATAGATTAGTGCCAAAATTCAAAAAAGAAAATTTGATTTTCGGTACCCATCTATAATTATATACATATTATTAATTGGTGATTTGCCACTCAACCAGAGAAAGATCATAGTATAACATGATGCAGTTTATATATAGAAATTAGGGTTTTTGGAATGTGAGCTGCTTCTATCTAAAACTTTTTTTGTACTAAATTAATCATCTTTAGGCCTCTAATTGAAGTTGTAGAGCTCATCGAGATGAATCTAATGGTGGTTGAATCGTCAAAATCGGCTTGGTGGATTACGAGATATCTTCGAAAAACGTTTCGCTGACTATGTAAAATTCTCTCTAGTATCGCCAAGAGAATTTTACATAGTCGGTAAAACGTTTTTCGAGGATATCTCACGATTCACCAAGCCGATTTTGACGCTTTAATCACCATTATATTTGTCTCAACGAGCTCTACAACTTAAATTAGAGGCCCAAAGGTGATTAACTTAGTACAAAAAAAAGTTTTAGATAGAAGCAGCTCACATTCCAAAAACCCTAATTTCTATATGTAAACTCATCACATTACACTATGAGCTCTCTCTGGTTGAGTGGCGAATCACTAATTAAGTTTTCTTGATTTAAATAAATTTTTTTATATTAACTTATTGAAATTGATTTAAACTAACGAAAAATTTAACTGAAGTCATGCTTTACAGTTAATTTCAAAATTCATGAACCACCCCAAAAATTTATCCTGAATTATTGTCGAGATATTGCAGTGATTACGAGTTTTAGGTTATATATTATATTAGTATTTATTATAAGTATTTTAATAACACATACTATATATATACATTGATGTCAATATAATATATTATCTAAAACTTGTGATCACCTGCTATCGCGACAATAATTCGGGATGAATTTTGAAATTAGCTGTAAAAAAACTCTTACTTACCTTGATGATAATTTAATTTTCTGCGCCAAGATCTTAATACGTGAAAGTGATAAAGCAGAACTGTACTACTAGGAAGGCTTTCTTCAACAGCTTTGATCTCTTCTCCCACATCATCTACTATAAATATATCTGGCTCCCATTCTTCATGCTTGGATTTTAGATAATCAAGCCAACTTTTTAATGTAATTGATCGTTTATACTTACTTATAAGAAATGCAATTGGGTATCCACTTCCTGATGTTGGATGCCGTATTATGAGCGTAAAGAGATGGTATCCGTGTTGATTAAGTCCATATATTCTATCAAGGCATATCACTCTTGCAAACTTCATTAGCTTTGTTTGCTTTTCTGTTTGAAAAGCAAACATAAAGCCTTTATTTGTATTATTTTCATCATTATTATTCTCAAACAAACAATTGCCACCAGCACAAATTAATTTTTCTTTCCATTTTTTTAAAGAATTGAATTCGTTTTCATCAAGATAAGCGCTTGCTTTCATGGTATCACGTACAATAGCATAGATGTCATCTTTGGTTATAAGTCCATCTCTTAATGATTGAATATTTTTATTTTCATTAGAACTTTCTGTCTCTAATTGTCATACACAATCCAGGAGTTCAATATCTCGGTGTCGCAAAAGCTGTTGAATACTATATGAATCAAGCCCTTCCAATACGCGTTGTTTAATGAATTGCCGGATATTATCCGATAAAGGAAGGGTACACAGATCTGATAACTTGCCAGACTGGTGATTATTATATTTATAGTAATGTTTTAAACTTACAGTTGTTGAATTAATTGGCAGAACGACCTAAATATAGCTCTTACAGTCACATTTTTTAGTCTCTTTCTGCGCAAGTCACGGTTTTTTGTTAGGATCTTTTCCAGCTTTACTAGAATATGATCCATGACGATGACAATACCACCATTCTGTCCACACATTTCTCTGCCTTGAACCACCCACTAACACCTTGCATTCATGTCAAATATAATTAAGCCCTCCTTTCTCTAGATTGCTTATCCATTCTTGATATGTACTTATAGGTAAATCATATGTTATAGATCTTTCTACATTTTGTGTATTCTGTGATATCTCATCATCATCTTTCATCTCCCATTCTTCTCTGACACCATCTGTCGCATTCATAATCATATTGAGAGTATTATCAAGTTCGTTATCACTGATTTCCATATCGGAGCCTTCATCATCGATATCAAAAATTGCATCTATGTCAACTAATAATGATTCATTGTAATTGATTTCGTTTGACATTGCTTAGTCTTTATTATTCTACGGTACTTCTTTCTTTGTTCTTTTTATATATATAAAAAAAAAAACTAACCTATACAACTATTCTATTTTAGTTTAGTTTGTTTGGCGTTCATAATTTAATCATCTTTGGGCTTTCGATATTAGAGTAAGCTCTACTTTTACTTTTTC